TCCCACAGCAAAAAGCGGGGTTCAGGGGCAGGGTCCAGGAGGACCGGAAGCAAACGTTTACTTTCTTCGGCGCAGGCGCCATTGGGCAAGTCCCATTGGTGGTTGTGGGCCTGCGCTGTGGTGCGTCCCCGCCTCTTCTTGAGTCTTCTCAAATTCTGTTTATTGTGGCGTCCTCAGTTTTTCACCGTTCCCAGACGCTGGGAAGCAGGGGAGGGCATGGAAGAGGACTTTCTGTGCAGCCCCTTTAACCCCCGATTGACGGCCTAGTCCTTTAACTACACCCAACAATAGCACCGATCTCACAACCACTGTGATCCGGTTCTCTGATGCTACCGAAGAAAGCGGGAGGAGAGTGGTCCAAACCTTGCTGCTGATTCTGTGCTGACCCAAAAGACAAGCTCATGTTACAGTCAAAAAGGTGCGCCTTCGAACGGCAAGTTTCTTCTGCCAGGCTCGGGGCCGGACGCCTGCGCAAACTGTAGGTCCGAGCTATGGCGACTGAACATCCCCCAGCAGAGGGAGCACAGCAGTTGGCCCGCTGCTCTGCCACCCAGCGGGCAGGAGAACCGCAGAAACCCAACTATGCCCTCAGACTTACTCTTGAGGGGCACTCGGCGGCCATATCATCAGTTAAGTTTAGTCCTAACGGAGAATGGCTAGCAAGTTCTGCCGCTGATGCACTAATTATAATTTGGGGGGCATATGATGGGAAATATAAGAAAACACTCTGTGGTCATAATCTGGAAATATCAGATGTTGCCTGGTCTTCAGATTCTAGCCGTCTCGTTTCTGCCTCAGACGACAAGACTCTAAAGTTATGGGATGTGAGATCTGGAAGATGTTTGAGAACACTAAAAGGGCACAGTGATTTCGTCTTCTGCTGTAATTTCAACCCACCATCCAACCTCATCGTTTCGGGGTCCTTCGATGAGAGTGTGAAAATATGGGAGGTGGAAACAGGAAAGTGCCTCAAGACCTTGTCTGCCCATTCGGATCCCATCTCTGCCGTACATTTTAATTGCAGTGGGTCCTTGATAGTGTCGGGGAGCTACGACGGTCTTTGTAGAATCTGGGATGCTGCCTCGGGCCAATGTTTAAAAACACTTGCTGATGATGGCAACCCTCCCGTGTCTTTTGTAAAATTTTCTCCAAATGGCAAATACATTCTCACTGCAACTTTGGACAATACTCTTAAACTGTGGGATTACAGCAGAGGCAGATGCCTGAAGACATACACTGGCCATAAGAATGAGAAATACTGCATATTTGCCAGTTTCTCTGTGACTGGTGGAAAGTGGGTTGTGTCTGGCTCCGAGGACAACATGGTTTACATCTGGAACCTTCAGACTAAAGAGATTGCACAGAAGCTACAAGGTCACACAGATGTTGTGATCTCGGCAGCTTGTCACCCTACAGAAAACATGATTGCATCAGCGGCGTTGGAAAACGATAAAACCATCAAAGTGTGGACGAGTGATTTCTGAAGTCGCTGGCAACCACCGATGAGTAAACTAAGTCAGAAACAATCAAAAGGTGACTCCCTGAAGTTTGCCTGGTTTTGTAGCTCTTGTTGAATTGTCTTTGATGTTATGAGTTTGAGACATTTTAATTTGAGAAATGATACCGGTGTAAAAGCCAGTCTAGGACCTGCGGCTTCTGACCTTAATTCTGAGGCCCATTGTCAATCTCATGTCTTGGTCCCTGGACAGCATCATTCTTTTCCTTTCATAGCTTTCTCAGAGGGGAGGGTATTTGGGGTATTCAGAAGGTTGACAGAACAGGATGGTTGAGAGGAGGGGAACTTACAGTTTCTGTTTGGGAGGCCACTAAGAACGATGGCAGGTATTGAGGGAGGGAACGAGAAGACTGAAGTTCTACATGTCACGTGCATATTTTCGGTGCATATTCTACATGATGGGCCATCTTATTGCCACATAATCTATCAGGCTGTGGACAGTAAGTCTGGTCAGGTTGAGTCTACAAGTCTTACACTTCTGCCTGTGTTGTGGTCAGAGGACAACCCTCAGGAGTTAGGCGTCTCCTTACGCTGTGCGCTCCACATAGCAAACTCAGGCCAGGCTTTCTCAATGGGGCCTTTTATTCACTGAGCAGGCCCAGAATCTTGCTCTGTGCCCTGTAGGCCTGGCTGGCTGGTAAACCAGACTGGTCTCAAGCTCAGAGATCCATTTGCCTCGGCCTCCTTAGAATCTTAAATATTTATCAGAAAAATCTCCTTAAATATTTTGTTAGATTGTGCCATTTTGTACTTTTCAGGGAAATTATGTCAGGTTGTGGCCACTCTGTAGCACTGGGCCTCCTAACTCCTGCTCAACATCATTCAATTCAGAAATCACCTTATCAACACTATGGTTGCTTGTCTGCCCTCAGTGGGCAGCTGAGGTAGGCTTTCCAACTTTTCACCGCTTCTTATAAAGCTCAGAGTTTACAGTTATCACCTTGCAGTTGTGATGGCTTCAAGGGCTGTAACAGGACGCCGCTTGTTCCTCCCAGATGCCTGGATAGCTTAGCCCCGAGATAACCACATAGAAACTGTATTAATTAAATCGCTGCTTGCCCCATTAGCTCTAGCTTCTTATTGGCTAACTCTTTCATCTTAATTTAACCCACCTCCATTAATCTGTGCATCACCATGAGGTCGTGGCCTACCAGCAAAATTTTTAGCATGTCTATCTCCGGTGACTCCATCGCATCTCCGTGACTCTGCCTTCTTTCTTCCAGCATTCAGTCCAGTCCTCCCATCTACCTGAGTTCTGCCGTATCAACAGGCCAAGGCAGTTTCTTTATTCATTAATGGTAATCACAGCACACAGAGGGGACTTCCACATTGCATGGGCCACATATTTAGTAGACAGGAAGTACTAAGATTAGGCTTTATGTCTTGTCTTTGTAGCCTTGGCTTTTTCTAGAGGACTTGATATTTACTGGGCAATGAATAACTTCATTCCTTACTTGCTGTCAATAAACTTTAATGATAATTCTCCAAACTCTACTATTGACTGAGAAATATTTTGCGGTAGCCCCACATACTAACCGAAAGGCAGCTATGCTAATCTCTATACCACCAACACCTCAGACCCACATACTAACTGGATCCACATGGGGCTCCTATAGAAAATATAGAAAAACACGCAGATGAAAACCCTGAGATTAAGAAATAATACTACAGTACTATCACTGAAAGCAACGTGGGCAGAATCTTATCTTCCTGAAAAATTCTGAGAAATATATTTCATATATTTCAAATATATATTTGAATATATATCTTAAATGTATTCTCATACATACTTATAGGGGGTATGATAGTCAAGACGCTGGTGTATTTGATTACACTGCAAGGTACAAGATCGGTAAGGGGCGTATCTGAAATTCTGACCAAAAAAATTTAAATTTGGATAGGTGAGATGGCTCAGTGGGTTAAGGTATTGCTGCTAAGCCTGATGACCTGAAATGCGTCTCTGGGACCTGCATAGGACAGAACACGTTCCTACAGGTTGTTCTTGGACTTCAGAATTCACTCTGTGGCATGGGTAGGTACTTCCCCCGCCCCAAGATAAAATTAATGTGAAAAAACTAAAGAGTTTAAATTAAACCCATAAGGAAATAGTCATGGTATGTTACTGAATAGAGAATTACACACAATAAAAATGATTTGCATAAATTAGTGGTGTATCTTTATTACAGACTTTAAGATAGACTTCTTGTAGCTCTTCAGTGAAAATGGCATTGCTATATGAAGGAAGTTCTATGTTAGGATTTACCAGTATTCAAAACATGGGCTTGGAAAAGGGTCCCAAATTACTCTAGAAAAATCAATTTTTTTCCCCCGAGATAGGGTTTCTCTGTGTAATAACAGCCCTGGCTGTCTTGGAACTCATTCTGTAGACCAGACTGACCTCAAACTTAGAGATTCACCTGCCTCTGCCTCCCGAGTACTGGGATTAAAGGTGTGCGCCACTGCCACCCAGCAAAAATCAGTTTCCTAAAAATGCACAAGAAAATTTGCAAGTAACAAAAATCGAAGCATTTATACCTAAATGAAACAAAGGCAAAAGTACAGTGTACAGACAGCATCAAGAACATTAGATCATGGAGCTATCAGCAACATTCCATTGTAAATGTATTACGTTCCCAGACAGTGGCACTTTTTCTTTTCTTGTAGACCAGGCTGGCCTTGAACTCAGAGATCCACCTGCCTCTGTCCTCCAAGTGCTGAGATTAAAAGGTGTGCACTGCCACTGCTCGGCTGGCACGTGACACTTTTAAAATCACAAGTATTAACTCAGAGAAGTAGTGTGTTGGGTGGCTGTAATGACGTCATCTGTTAGCATTAGGGAGGCATCTTATAAAGCAGAAACCACTTGAGTACAGACACCGTGGTAGCATAAGAAGCCAATAAAACACATGGGGTGTAAGTGCTTACTTTCCCCACACTAACAAACAAGAATGGGGATGGCATTTTTGTAAGTATAAAACTTAATTCCCTGGGGGTAGCAAAGGGGCTAGTTGGGAGCCAAGTCATGGATTAGAAGGTGGCAGCTGGCCTCCAGCACTTCCATGAATGATAAACACCTCAAAACTCTTGGGCAGACTCTCTCATGACTTTGTCAGGGCATTCTCAAAGGCTCTTCTACAGCCTCCGCCTTCTGGCATGCTAGACAATACAGTGTGTGGTCCAGCAGCTTTCTAGTCTCCCCAAAGGCACCCTGGCATTTGGAAGGTTGGCTTCCCAACATGTTTCTGGGCAGTGTACCCAGCTAGTCTTCTTGTCCCTTCAGACATGGTAGGAAGAACGGAGAAGATGCACACTCTTTGGGCCTCGGGGGATAGGTCAACTTTGGTCTCTGAGTAGAAGTTAGGTGGGTACCAGATGCTCCACAGAGTTAATATTAAGTTTGAAATTAGTTGCTTCTTTTTCACTTTCTCTGAAACATGGGGAGGCAATGTCTTACTTGGATCAAAACAAAAACACAGACAAGTCATTCTTTAAGAAAATGTATTTGTTCCTCTACAGCAGAAGTGGGGAAGTGGAATAAATTTGTGCAAAGCGTGTGTCGTACCACATTCTTTCCAGTGCACGCTTGTTACTACAACCTCATTCCCAGGTTTTCCAAATCCAGCACAAATCCTTCTACTCTGTTTTGGCCTTCATAGCTTCCTCCTCTCTCAGGCGGGCTTTCCTTTCCAGGTTCAAGCTTGTTAAAGACTCATGTCTTTTCGCCGCCTAAAAGGAGAAAAAAAATGAAGAGATGATGACGCCAGGCTGGGGAAGATGTCCTCCCCTTGGGCTGAAATCAGCAGGCTGACTCACAGCACAGGCCAGAAGTGGTCAGCTGCCTGGCCGCTGGGCACAGTAGAGTCCTGGACACACCTTCTATTCTGACTCGAGTGTCCAACCCATCCGAGGAGAGAAGTGCATTGCTCTCCCTTCTCTGCCTTACACCCTCTCTCTCCAAACCTGTCTCTTTCCCCTATCCGCTTCACTCTGATTTATAATGGGAGCCTTCATTCCATCTCCATCTCCGTTTTCATTTCTCCGTCCCTAACTTGTGAGTGTGCTTTCTGGCACCTTTCTTCTCTTTTAACAAAAACATTTAGCTTTGCGATTCCCAGGCTTTACCAAAATACTACCCATGAAGACTTCTAGAAGGATCTATCCTCAGATGTCACTTTCCTTGCTTCCCTCAGTGTGAACTGTTAAATTTCTATGAAGCTTATATAATCAGGCCTGTTTTTATGTCAAGTTTGTGAATCTCGCGGTCACAGAAAGTGGGATTTTCTGACACCCCTGTTATTTCACATGTGAAGCATCTGATGTGAGGAGAAAGGATGGGGAAAGGACATCACTGGTAAGGACAAAGCAGAATGGTCACTAACTTATCTCTAAAGTTTTCATTCTAGCACACACCCTTGGAAGGTGCTGGAGGACACCCTAGGGGAATTATTTGCTTCTGGAGATTTTTAACATCAAGTATTTCTCCGAATTCTAGAAATCCACATGTCTATGCACAGGCTTCTGAAGGTTTCAGTCTGAGAAATATGAAGGAGAGGTCAAATGGGGAGACAGGAAAAGGGAAGTAGGCCAGGCTCATTTCCAAGAGAACATCACTCGGGTCAGCACTTTTGCCCCTTTGTGCTCCTGTGAGGCCAGACTGAGATGGCTAGAATTCTTATGTGACTGCAAGGCACAGAGTCAAGAGTTCATGTCCTCTTCACTCTGGAGTTGCTCAGGATAAGGAGATCAGTTCATAGACAAATCGTTTTTCTCTTTTTGGTTTTTCGAGATAGAGTTTCTCTGTGTAGCCTGGCTGTCCTGGAACTAGTCTGGCCTCCAACTCAGAGATCCACCTGCCTGTGCCTCCTGAGTGCTGGGATTAAAAGGCACTACTGCCTGGCAGAAGAATCTTTTTACTGTGTAACAACAGCTAAAGGATAGCTCTAAGTGAAAGCTATGACGGAATTAGACATGATAGTCAAGGTGTGTTCTTCAATTTGAATGCACACACATATATACACAAGCTTTAGACCTTACTTATTTTTATTTTATGGGTATAAATATTTGCCTGCATGTGTGTACATGTAACCACATGTGTGTCTGATACCTGTGAAGGCCAGAGAGGGTAGCAAATCTCCTGGAACTGGAGTTATAGTTGGTAGTGAGCTGCCACATGGGTGCTGGGGATTGAACCTGGATCCTCTGCAGGGGCATCAAATGTTCCTAACCACTGAGCCATATTCTCAGCCCCCAAAGTAACCATATTTTAATAACAAGGTAGTTTATAATAGGTCATTTGGTAACATGAAAAATCAGATCTAAAGTTTTACTTTTCTTTTGATTTTTTTTTTTTAAATCTAAGTTTTTATCTCTCCACCTACTATGTGACTTTCGGAAATGCATGGTGCATGTGTAAGCTTCAGTTTCATTATAAAGCATGGTGGTGAGAAAGCCTCTCTCTCAGGCTCTCACATCTGACTTTAAATAGGTGCTGCATGCTGGGCGGTATGCGTGGTAGCACACGCCTTTAATCCCAGCACTCGGGAGGCAGAGGCAGGCGGATCTCCATGAGTTCGAGGCCAGCCTGGTCTACAAGAGCTAGTTCCAGGACAGGCTCCAAAGTCACAGAGAAACCCTGTCTCGAAAAACAAAACAAAACAAACAAACAAATTGTTTTACTCTCTCTGTGTGCAGGCACACACGTACTTTGGAGTACATGTGGAAGTGTCAAGACAATCCCTAGGAGTTGATTCTCTCCTGCCACTTGTGGGATGCAGGGATTAAACACATGTCAGGCCTGTGCACAAGTGCCTCTGCCTGCTGAGTCCCCTCATCAGCCCACTGCTAAAGCTTCCTAAGCTATGGTTTCCTCATCTCAGGGTAGCAGCTATTTAACAAAGCTATTGTGAGGTACAAATGAGGTCACCACTCCAAAGAACATGCCATGCAGTAAGCATTCAGTCAGTAAAAGTGGCTTCTTCTGCTTAGACCTTTCCCTTCTCAGATTAAACCAAGGAGACAATGGTGGCTTTCTTCATCTTTGGGGGAAAGCATGCAGAGACAGAGAGGAGCCGGCTCTTACCTTCTTACCCTCAATAACCATATAGATGCATCCTGCCACTGTCAGGGCAATCATTAAATAGCTGACCTTCACCCGGAGCCTGTTCTTTGCAGCATCAAGCATCTCAAACCTAGCAATAGAATGAGCAAACATCATTAACCCTTTTCTTTCTGTACCCGCAGCATCACAACTTAAAAGTACATTTACGTCTGTAAACACAAAGCAGCCAGGACCTAGAGACCTCATAGCACCTCGGGATCAAGTTCACAACTTTTTGTTTTTGGAGACTGGTTCTTTCTTACATTATAGTCTAGGCTAGCCTGGAACTCATTTTTCTCCTCTCAAAAAGTCCTACTATGAGCCGGGCAATGGTGGCGCATGCCTTTAATCCCAGCATTCGGGAGGCAGAGGCAGGCGGATCTCTGGGAGTTTGAGGCCAGCCTGGTCTACAAGAGCTAGTTCTGGGACAGGCACCAAAGCTACAGAGAAACCCTGTCTCGAAAAAACAAAACAACAACAACAAAAAAGTCCTACTATGTTCTCAAGTTATAACAAAAATATAGTTCAAAAAAAAAAAACAACTAACATAGAAGAGTTAATATTTTTTGTGAAATCCAGTTTTCTCCTCCATATTTAAACTTTTTGCACATGGGTGGTTTGCCTGAAAGTATGTCTGTGAACCATATATATGCAGTGTCTGAGTCAGAGGCCAGACAAAGGTATCGGATTTGGATCTCCTATGAGACAGAAAGTTATAAGCCACATGTGGGTTCTGGGAATTGAACCCCCATTCTCTAGAAGAGCAGCCAGCGCCCTTAACCACCGAGCCATCTCTGTAGCCCTGATTATTCCGATGTTTAATGTGGGGGGTATTAGAAACTATTTTATTAATTCAAAGTCTTTTTCATTTTTATTAATGCATCTAACAGTGCATTCCACATAACAAAACCTACACTTGCTGGGAATAGTGACACAGGCCTTTAACTTAAGCAGAAGCAGGAGGATCTTTGTGAGCTCAAGGCCAACCTGTTCCCTATATCAAGTTCCAGGAAAGCCAGGGCTATGGAGAGAGACCCTGTCTCAAAACAAACTTTAGGCTTTATTTCAAACAATACAAGCAAATTTGTACTTTTCTCTAGCCTCTAACCTAGCTTTTGGCTCTGTCTTGAACCGGGACTAGATTTGAGATTGCCTGAGTCAGCAAAATAATCCCTTAAATGTTAATCTTGTCATGAAGGCTAAAACTTGCTAAAGCTGAGTGACAGTGAACTGGAGCATGGGCTTTTTGGCAAGCACCTAGCATATAGCTTTTCTAATCTGCCCTCTGACGGATGACCTACATGCCCTGACAATTTCCTGGGTAAAAGCAAAGAGGCATAACATGCAAGAGTCTGAAGAGAAGGCTGGGTAAACAAGATGGCTTAGTAGGTAAAGGTGCTTGCAGCCAAGCCTGATGACCTGAATTCATTCCCAGGGTCTATATGGCAGAAGACACTTCTGTAAGGTGTCTGACTTCTACACAGATGCTGTGTCATGAGCACCATCCCAAGACACTAACTGAATAAATGTAATTAAAATGAAATGAGAGTCCAAGTGGGTCTCCCCAGCGGGTGTGCACAGGAAGTGACTATCTCTAAATAATGGGACTGGAATGCTTTCTACTTTCTTCTCCCAATATTTAGCATGTGTAATGTTGAACATCAGCAAGAGCAATGGCTTTCAAAGGCTGCCGCAGAAGAGGCCCAGGCGGAGAAGGACCGTGAACACATATACAGTGTGATGGAAGAGCTGGGACTCAGGAGGCAGATTGTACCTGGAGCTCTCCAGGCACTAAAGCTGGGCCTGCAGGACAGTAGGAACCAGGAACAACTTGTCAAGATAGTGAATTGTTTAACTGCTTAATTAAAAACAACAGAGATCCCACTAGCCACAAAAACAAACAAAAATGAAAACCAAACCAAACAAACAAAACAACAAAACCCAAACCATTTTAACTTGTGTGGTAGCTGGAATGGGTCTGTCTTCCTATAGTCTAGGGCATAGCTTACACTCAGGAGACCATTTATAAAGGAAAATATGCTTCAATATGGGTATGACATTTTCCACTCATCTCAAAAGGAGCAAGTTTGGTTAAAAAAACAAACAGACATCAAGTTGGGAGGGATGAGGTATTTCAGGCCTTGTGAATCTGGGGTAAATCCTAGCGACTTTGAGAAAGGCAGGTTCTGATTAGGTTGGTCTGGAGTGGGGCCCTGAGCTGCATTTCTAACAAGCTTCTGGGTTGATTGACAGCCAGTTTGCTACTCTGCAAATAGGGTAAACAGCTTTCTCAAGTTTTCAATGCAGGTTTGAACGGACATTTAGTTCTAGGTTTCAGAGTTTTGCATCCAGGCCACACTTTGAAAGAGAAGGAAGGCTTGTGCACTGCTTATGTTGAGTTTCACAACCGCTCACACTGGAGTCCTCTTGACATGATTTGTTTTCTTTAATTAGTGATCCTGAGAGCTGGGACCTAGTACAGTGGCAAAGTACTTGCCTAGTATATGTGAGGTCCTGAGCTTCATCCCCAACCATAATAGTAAGATAAATAAACAGAATTTTTAAATAAAAAAAGAAAAGAAAAAGAAGGAAGGAGGGAAGGGCATGGGTGGCTGAATTAGATCAAACACAGATGTATGTGTGAACTCCTTGGATAGTGATGATAATGAAAGACAAGAGAAACGGGCCTGCTAAGAAGCATCAACAAGACAATCAGTTGCCCAAACCGAGGAAAGAACTTTCCAGAGTGACTCACCAGGTAGTATTTTGGGTCTGAGAGGATCTAGGAACCAACGAGAAGGGAGGCAAGGTATGCACGCACACACACATACACACACGCACACACACTATTTCACGCGGGTTGAGGAGGACTAAGGCTTTCCTGCTGAGGTAACTCTGGGGCGCCTTGTGTTCTCTCATTCAGCTAGCAGGGGCTGCAGGGCTCTATAAGCAGGAAGCAGATGCATCCCGTCTCCCTGTAAAAGATGTGCTGCTCGAACCCAGGTCCTTATCATTTGTGACTTCAGACCACAGCAAGAAGGCCCAGGAGGTTTCTTGCTGACAGAAAATGCATGACATTTACTCCCATACTCTGAAGAGGATGCCCACAAGGGAGAGAGTTTCACTTCCAGCCACATGCTGGCCAGTCAGGGTCCTTAGCAGGAGACTGAACACTGCTTCCACCTGAGACAGGTTTGCCCCCATGGGGCATGTGACATCACCTAAGGACACTCTTGGAGAGAGTCTGCTGGCATCTAGAGGGTAGAAGCCAGGGATGTTGTAAACATCCTTCCATACACACGGCAGTTCACAAAGTGTCAACAGTATTAACTAAGGCAGCAAAACCCTGGTTTAGAGGAACCTGTATACATCACTTAGAAATTCTGAAAAAGTTGGTTCCAGCTGAGGTTTAAGGAGGTAGGAGAGAAAGAAACCCCTTCCTGGTTGTGAGCGAAACCTGAGGTAAGCAGCATATGAAGAGGAAGACGTTTATGAACAGCCGGCTGAAGTGTGAGGATGGGATCACTTACCTTGAAGGAAGCAAAAGAGCTGAAGATGAGGAGGATCGGGAGGCTCTCTGAAGATCTCCCAAGAGGTCTCACCTCTTTGGGGGCAGTTTCAAGACAGGGTTTTTCTGCGTAGCTCTGGCTGTCCTGGAACTCACTCTGTAAACCAGGCTAGCCTCGAACTCAGAGATGTGCCTGCCTCTGCCTCCTGAGTGCTAGACTAATAGCATGCACCATCACTTCCTGGATGAGGCCTGAGGCCTCACCTCTTAAAGTTTCTACTGCTTCTTGTGAGTGCAGCCATGGATGGGCTTTGGAAGATGTTTAAGACCCAAACTAAAGCTGCTGCATCACAATACTATCCTGCCCAAAGCTGATTCTTGGGAGGGTTTTGTAGGATGTAATTTTTATCATTGTGCTGAGCTTAAAAACAAGCTAAAACAACGCACGGTATTGTTTCCCACGTTCCTGGAGCTGGGGATGCAGCTAAACGTGGCTGCTTCAGCAGCGCACAGGTCCACCCGTCACTAGGTAACATACAGATAGGTCCACCCATCACTAGGTAACACACAGACAGGTCCACCTGTCTCTAGGTAACACACAGACAGGTTCCCAGCAGTCATTGTTCTGGGTACTTGCCAACATGAAAACACATAGAGAGTGAAGAATGTTTCTAAATCTGGTCAGAAGATTTTAAACAGAGCTCAAACTCACTCTGCTTTCCCCATCAGAGACCAGTGAGAAACTCAGGCTGCATATGACCCTGCCAGCACTCACGAGATTGTCTCCGGGATTTCTTCCTCCTTCTTGAAGCGTCCTGACCACAACAGTATCTTCCTCTCGAAGTCCGTGGGTTTGTGCAGGGGCACTCTGTGTCTGTAAGATTCTGCGGAGAAAACCAGGTAAGAATCTTGCATGAAATTTTAATGTTTAAATCAAGCAACAGATAAAAAAACTGTTTGTGTCCTGTAGCCATTCAGTGAACGGAAACACCATGAGGCTTCAGGTCGATCCAGAGCTTCATGGACGTGAGGAGGACTACACAGATGCCTGTTTTCAAGCATCATTCTACAACGCCATGAGGACTAGGGTAAAATATAAGGCCTAGCCGCCATAAAGTGGAAAGACTACCACGAGAAACACTGGGATGAAGAGGATGCGCTGATAACGGACAAAAGCGTGCCCATCTCCAGTAGAGTAAGAAAAGGGTTGTATGGTTAGATTACATTGACAGACATGGACATCAAGCTGAGGAATTCACTAGATTGGGGATACACTTTTTATTCTTGTTTACATACAAGCCTGGCTGGCCTGGAATTCACCATACAGATAAACCAAGATGGCCTGGCGCTCAGAGACCTACTTGTCTGTCTCCCTAGGGCACGTATTAAAGACCTGCACCACCAGAGCTGGCCCCGGGAGATGCACTTTGAAGCCAGGAAGGCATTGCTCATCTCAGTCTTCACACCAGAGAGAAGAAAGGAAAGGGCAAAGTACAGATCTGGCAAAAAGCCCAAGCAGGGGCTCGAATAAAAAGGTGAGGGCTGGTCCTGAACCAGAGTTACAGCAGCATTAAAGTCACTCCAAAGACAACAGAGAACTGGGAGATTGAGTTGTGACAAAGAAGGGCTCCCAGAGAACCCCAAGCCTAGAGGACTTAGGACCACCAGCACTGCTAGCTAAATCATTATGAAGAGAACCAGTGAGGGAGGAAAGGAGCACAAACGCCAATTTAGATCTGTTCAAGTCTGAATGAACGAATGTCCCTCAGTCCCCTGAGGAGGGTCCATTGATAAGTAAGGAGTAAAGATAAGCATTTGTGTGAAGGTTGAGCCACTGAGGTGCTGAGGAAGAGAGAGTGCCAAGAGCCATGCAAGGGAACAGGAGAAAGCAGTAGAGGAAGCAGAGATTGCTGATGAGGCAAAATAGGGCAGGTCCCAAAGACTGCCAGGGAGAGGCGCTCTTGAAAGAGAAGTCACCGAGAATGGGAAGCAAAGACAGGGACTCACAAGGTGCTGGGATGAGACAGGAAATTCACCAACTGTAAGCCGACTTCTACCCACAGCCCACTTGCCTCTCAGAGACATCTCTTCCACTGAGAGCTACGCTTTACCTCATGCCCATCTTTGCCTTCACCTCAGGAAACAACAGTAAGAGGAACAGGAAAGCCATGGGGGGCGGGGGGCACCACCGGAGTGAGAGCTGTACAAGTACAGAAATGGGCTGGCCTTCCATCTTTCTCGGGTTGTCACGCTTGTCTTCATACTCCCCTCTTCCACCTCAAAATGAATTTAAGCCACTTGAGAAGAGGATCTAGAAGTCAGGTGTAAGTTACCTTGGCCTGTGAGGGCAGCTGGGGAGCCGGTGGATTGGCTTTGAGACTCTGCTACACAGTGAGCCTGGGATACTCAAAACACTGCCTGCAGTCCCCTCCTGCCCTCCCCCCACAAAAAGAAGGGCAGTTCAGAAAGAACAGATAAGAAAAAGTAAAAATTAAAACCACTCCTGATGCCACTACCATAGAATAGTCAGTATGCTTTAATTTGGGTATATTTCCTCAGCTTTATCTGGGTGAATATGCATTTTATATGCAAGTACAAGGCTTATGCCTTCATACAAACAAAATCTGATCTCCACATATGTGTGTGTGTATGTTTGTGTATGTATGTATATATACATATATATGTGTATATATATATTTTCATAGATAATGTAACATTCTACAGTACTACAGTGTTTATAAGAAACTGCCAACAGCTACATGTAACCATTCTGAGTTTGACATTTAGATGTAAACATATATGCTATACACATGTAACATCTTTTCCATATATAGTGATTATTGCTTAGGATAGATCCCAAATCCTGAAAGGGAAACACCAGGTTGAAGGGAAAAGACACGTTTTAAGCCCTTTAGGGATGGTTCCTTTCTATTCGCCAAGACCTGCAGGGCCCAAGTGCACCCCAAGAAGAAGCTTGCAGACAAGCACAGCTGGGACATTACAGCTATGCATCATCCCCCCATCCCTGCAGTGGCAGCTTGGCCTTAGGTATGAAGTCAGTGCCAAACCCAGAATTTAGCCTCATTATATTTAATCTCAAACATAATCTCTTGATGTGGCTGGGGAGATGACTCGGTCAAGCACGAGAATATGAGTGTAATCCCCAGACCCACAAAAAAAAAAAAAAAAAAAAAACAGCCAGGAGTGATGTGCACACCAGGGGAGGCATTGGCTGGCCAGACAGTCTTGTCAAATCGCTGACCCTCAAACTCAGTGAGAAACCTTGTCTTAAAAATAAAGTGGAGAATGGTTGAGGACACCAGTTGAATTAATTTGATTTGTGAAATAACCAGGCTATTTAAAGATAAAACAATTATATTTTATTTATTATAGGGGGCAAACTCACGAAACAGGAACAAGAAGTCCAAGCTCAGCTATACTGTGAGGGAACCACACAGAGAGAGCACACCTGGGCCATGAGCAGTTTTTTCTCCAGGTCCCAAAAGCCACACCCTAACTTGGTTCCACTTCTTAAAGATAACTGGTTGACAAAGATTCCCCATCAGACACTGGATGTTAGCCTGTGGCACACGCGCGCACTCACACACACACACACACACACACACACACCATTGCACACTGTGAATACAACCAATGCACGCACAGTAAGGAAGGCAATGCTACAAGACTGGACATGATGGAGGACACACTGGCCTACCTCTTCAGGTTCTTTTGATGCCAAACAATTCTAAAGGGTGGGGATGGGGCCTGCCTATTCCATAGATAAAGCCACAAAAACTTACGGGTTGGAGCTTTGGAACTTTCTTGTGGCTTGGTGCAAAATCCATTGATCCTCTTCAAGTCAGTGTTTCTGGTAGACCTTAGAGACGAAGAAGCATTTCTTTCATATAACCTAAAGCAATGTCCTAGAAAAGAGAGATACATATTTCAGAGAGAAAATGTGATGTTTTCTCAAGAAACACTTGTAAGCAGCTGAATGTGTGGTGCAGGTCTGTAATCCTGGCACTCAGGAGGGAGAGCTGGGCAGAAGTTTGAGATCAGCCTGGGCTACACAGTGAGTTTCAGACCAGCTATACAGCAAGACACTGTCTCCCCATCCCTGTCCCCCAAGAAGAAAGAACAAGTCTGCAAGTTTTCAGTTATATACACAAAATACAAATCAACTCATAGAAGTTGGGTGTGGTGAAACAGAACTTGCAAGGTTGAGGCAGGAGGATTTCACATTCAAGGCCAGTGGGGTTACATAGTGAGTTTACGGTGTGCCTGGGCTACTCTATCTCAGAGAAACAAGCAAACCAAACAGACAAAAATTCAGCTCTTTCATAAAACTGAAGTTAGCTCATGTAGAATATACAATATATGTAAAGCATACAAGCTACACCTGTGTAAGAGATGACTAAGGTATATGCTTGGTGCTATTTCAAAGTATAATTGCTTTGCTGATTAAAAATAAAATTTAGCCATTTACGCCCCTTTAATCCCAGCACTTGGGAGGCAGAGGTAGGTGGATCTCTGTGAGTTCGAAGTCAGCCTGAACTACAGAGCGAGTTCCAGGATAGCTAGGGCTGTTTGTTACATAGAGAAACCCTGCTTTGGAAAAAAAGAAAAAAGAAAAAAAAAGAAATAGGAAAGAAAGGAAGGAAGGAAGGAAGGAAGGAAGGAAGAAGAGAGAAAGAAAGGAAAAAAATGAATTACAGTATATTTATCAGTAAATTCTAGCAGGTCCTTTTCCCAGGTGTTCAGTCATACTTACAGCATGGCAGTATTCCTTCTCTATCTCTTAAAGACAGGCAGTGGAAGTTCGTAAAGAATCAAACTGGAGGTCTGTTTTGTTTTGTAAGCATGTTTGTTTGTGCTTTGCATTACACCACAGACCTAGGTGTTTGGGGCATAGTGGCACTTGTCTGTGATCCCAATCTTGGGAGGCAGAGGCTCAAGGAGCAGAGTTTGAGGTAATTCTCTGCTACATGAGTTGAAGGCCAGAGTAAGACTTTGTCTCAAAACACTAAGCCTCCTTCCTACCCCACCACAGGACCACATGACAATTTTGTCAGTAGTGATGCTGTCACTTAGTGAGTTGACCAGAAGGTGCTACCCACCCATGCGACCCCTCAAAGCTCCGCGTCACCCACCTTTCCTTTGTGAGCAGCAAAGGTAACTGTTTTCCACCTCTTATTTAATATGAATTGCAAGATGGTGGCATTCTTTCCCACATCATTGGGTGTCCTTAGGTTCAGGATTAACAGGATCATGGGATAAATGGTTGCATGAATAAACACACATACATATACATGTATACATGCGTGTGCATGCGCACGCGCACACATACACACACACACACACACACACACACACACAGGTCCTTATAACCTCCCAGTTGACCTTCCATTTAAAAGCACTGTAAGAAGCGCCTGCATCACATGTAATGCTTCCGTTATCTGTTAGTCCTCAAATGTTCCCATCTTTGGTTAGGAGGGACTTTTGTGGTGGGTCCTGAGTTCCTTCAAAATGGGATCAGTAGTTGTTGACAGCTTCCTCCCTCTCTCTGACATGTTCCAGACCCACTTTGACTGTTCCCACCCCTGACTTGAAATGACATTCTTCCAAAGGGATCCGGGGAATGTTTTTAGAGACCCCACAGGGGCCTTCATGTCTCCACTGCTGAGCTTTTCAAACACCACAGCAAGTTGGGGAAGAAAGGGTTCATTTGGCTTGCACTTCCACATCATAACCATCACTGAAGAAAACCAGGACAGGAACTCAAACAGGGCAGAAACCTGGAGGAAGTATCTGATGCAGAGGTCCTGGAGGGGTGCTGCTTACTGGCTTGTTCCTCGCGGTTTGTTCAGCCATTTATTTATTTATTTATTTATTTATTTATTTATTTTCCAGGACAAGGTTTCTCTTTAGAGCCCTAGCTCTGTAGACTAGACTGGTCTCAAACTCAGAATTCGCCTGTCTCTACCACCCCCCCTCCCGAGTGCTGGGATTAAAGGTGAATGCCACCATAGTCTGGCCAGTCTTTTATATAGAACCCAGGACCACCATCTGGGGTGGCACCACCTGCAATGGGCTGGGCCCTCCCCTATCAATCACTAATTAAGAAAATGCCCTATAGCCGGATCTTCTGGATGGATTTATCTCAATTGTGGTTCCTTCTTTCAGATCACTCTAGCTTGTATCAAGTTGACATAAAACTAGCCAGCAGAGAAAAAAAAGATACCTTCTTGAAAGAATACTTTTAAGAAATACATTTTGGTCAGAAGCTTTTGCCTTCTGTATGAATAATTTAACCAATTAATGATTAAGCAGAATTAAAGCAGAGACATCCACCAAGTTTGGCGGGAGTGGGAGAAAAGGGGAGTCACCATGTGTGAGGCCATGACATGAGACAGCAGATCCAATACAGGCCTTCTGAGAGCCAGCAGAGACAGAAGAGCCCAGTAAGGGAGCATCTGGGAAGCACCAGTGAGCAGGAAAGCAGGCAGGAAGGGGTAAGTGATGGACCTGCTGGGTCCCGGCACTCCGGGGTGCTCTGGAAACAGAGAGAAGGCCAAGGCTTCTTTTGTGTACTGGCGCTTTCACAGCTCTATGGGCAGATGTGCGTTCACTAGAGGATAAAAAGTCTGCCTGGGAGTTTCAGAGCCTGGCAGACCGGAATGGTGGCTTTAATCGTGGTCACTCTTTCCTCCCTCCCCGGCTCATATTGTGGAGTCCTGAACCCATATAGATAAGGTATGTGAGGCTGTAGTTCTTTTGGTGTCTTTGTCTGGTTTGGCATCAGGATAATGTGCCCTCATTAAATGAATCAAGAAGTGATTCGAGATGGGAAGCTCACGATGTAGCCCAGGCTAGCCTCTAACTTTCAATCCTTCTGCCTCAGCCTCCAGGTGTTGAGATTACAGGAGTACAACACCACATCCTGCGTGAAAACTCTGCTCTTGTCTGTCCTTCCTTCCCACCCCACCCCCATCTCTTTCCTTTTGTGCCCTACTGGGGATTCAACCCAGGCCCTTGGCCATACCAGGTAAGCACTTTACATTGGGCTATCTCCATTTCCAACCTTTTCTGCTGTCCTTTTTTAAAGAGTTATAAAGGATTAGTTCTAATTGTCCTTAAGTGTTTGGTCAGTTGTTTTAAGAAAAGATTTATGTACTCATGAATTTTTATGTAATCGCATGTATGCCTGCATGACAGAAGAGAGTATCAGAGAGAAGAGGGGAGCAGATCCCATTACCATGTGGTTGCTGCTAACTGAATTCAGGATCTCTGGAAAAGCAGCCAGTGCTCTTAACCACTGAGCCATCTCTTGGGTCAGTTGTTTTTTTTTGGGGGGGTGAGGGGCAGATTCTCTGTGTAGCTTTGGAGCCTGTCCTGGAATTAGCTCTTTTAGACCAGGCTGGCCTCAAACTCACAGAGATCCACCTGCCTCTGCCTTCTGAGTGCTGGAATTAAAGGCGTGTGCTGCCACCACCCGACCCTTGGGTCAGATTTTTTTTTTAAATATTTTTTACTCAATTTCAGTAATTTTGGGTATACAATTATTTGTAGTATTATCTTGTACTCTTCATGTCTTTGGCCACAGAAACATCTGCTTAGCTTAGTGACCAGCTAAAAATCAGGCGAAGTCTCCCACTGACAAGCCCTGGGAGCCTCTGCAGCCAGGCTCTAAGGTAATAGAGTAAGTCTCACCCCGAGGCAGGCAATTCCTCTCTAAGCCAATTCCTGCTTACACAGAACCTAAATGAGGCAAGGGAGGAAAGCTCTGAACCTTCCTTGGCCTTTCCTGATGGAGTACTTCCTGCATTCCATCCCAGCAGCAGCCAGAGCTCTGTCAGGCCATAACGGACACCTTCCTAGCTTTTCCTTCTAAATGTTTCCGTTTACCCAGCTATCTCCTCTGCACTACGCTCAACAAGCACAACGGGCAGTTTTCATATACGTCCCAGAGACAGAGCTGTTAGCACAGCTCAGAATCAGGCGAAACACAAACTCTGTGAGAGGAGTTTCCTGCAAACCGCTACACAGGTCAAATGGCAAGAGAATCTCTGGGATCTGGGTGGAAGGCCACTAACCCCTTCTGTCTTCATCAGCTTCTGCTAAAACTACGGTTGCAGTTGCTGGTGTTCCAAGCTACTGTGAAGCTGACGGGAGAACAGAATGAACCAAGTTAAAGCTGGCAAGTCTCGGGGCTCTTACCACAGTTCACTCCGTTTTCTTGAACAAATGCTCTTCAGACCACAAGACCTTGCAAAATCTTGGTGGTTTTGATTCACCCAATGACGGATTTTCAGAGGTCCTCGCCCTCTGTACAGAGTGCCTGCTCATAAGAGACCCCACTCTTCCACTTCCAGGTCTGACCACACCAGCGCTGCCTAGGGTGGCAGGTGTGACCACGTCCAGGGAGATACGATTGCTTTCACCTGTTTCCTCACTCTGACTAAGGTAATGCAATATCACAGCACCAGCGCTGATTTGAGGGTGAACTGGGAAAACAAATGAGAACATCTGGTAGGACATGGGACATGTGGCAGGCTCTACACATCTGGTTCACGTTCCGACATCATTCAAGAGTAATCTCTACAGCACTTTTCAGCCACCCCAGAGGGCAGAAGTCCTGACCAGGACAGTTCCCAGGCTGTGAGGTGTGTGAAGATGCCCTTCAGTGGTTCTTCATCCTACAGACAAAAGCACACACTGCTCAGATCCTCAAAGCTCAGTGGAACCTGAGTTAGCTGCAGGCCTGTTTGAAACATACCACACAGCTAGTGACCGCTAATTTTTTTCTTCTCTTCTCTTTTCTCCTCTCTCTTTTCATACAGGGTCTCATGATGGAACCTACACTGACTTTGAACTTACAGCAATACCCCTCAGTGCTGGCATAGCAGAATGAACTGGCATACTC